ACACACTAGATTTTTACCGGGTCTGGGGGCTGAAACTTCCCGAAATCACAAAAGAGTTCCCCTACCGGGTCTGTATACTTCGTGACTTTGTTCCCGGTTACCGGGTCTGTATACACTTCGTTGTTCTTTTCTTCAAATTGTAATTCCTCCAACTCCAAAACGGAGGAAAAACGATCGTTCATCGAAAAGACATCCGCAATCTTCATTTAGATCTAATCTAGATCTAGATCTAGGCTAGCCTCGAAACTATACCAAGGATTTATGTCTGTCTGTCTAGATCTAGATCTAGACCAGGCCATAGATCTACTAGAAGAACCTAGGTCTACCTTGAGCCAAGAGGGCGCTGAAACTTTCCAAAACCACAAAAGAGTTCCCCTACCGGGTCTGTATACACTCCCTTTTTTAAATGACTGGAGTGGACTTGAAGTTGTAGTTGCCAGGAACTGTGGTCATCACTGGCTGTGGTTATCACTGGCTGCGATGGAGTAGTGGGTGCTCTTGGCTGCTCTGAGGTGGTGGACACCCCTGGCTGGAGTGAAGTTTTGACTGGTGGATTGAATATCGTGTTACATCTCACTTTATTCCAGTCCAGTACATTGACATCAAGAGGGAACAGTCCTGCTTTTTTGAAGCACAATGCCTCAATTCCTTTCTCACCTTCGTATCTGGAAACTGTTTTATCCCAGTCCCAGGCCTTCTTGATAACTGGAGCAAAGATAGTCTTGCTTACGGTACTTTTTGTACTTTCTTGTTAATCAAGAACTGCCATTCTCCAATTTTTTTAAGGCCGGCACTATTTCTCAGAATGTTCAGGGAAATAAAGCTGGGCACTATTTCTCCGAACGTTCGGGAAAATAAAGCTGGGCACTATTTCTCCGAACACCGAGTGAAATCACATTCTTTCCCGCAAATTTCGATAGATCTATAATTATAGTATAGGCCTGCCAAAGATTGTTCGTATACAATATGGTTCAATCGATCCAAAAAATGTCGGCAGTAAATATTTATCCAAACAAATGCTACAGTTCTAAACAGTTTTTCGCTACAGATATGACGCGTTGCCTATGAAGGGTACTGCTCTTAAACTTAATGTGTTGTGTTCACTCGTGTGCTGTTTAGATCTAGATCTAGATATACGGTGTGTTATTGATAACGACACATAGAACTAGCATCTGCGTTTGTCGCGGCCGCGACCAATCAATCGCTCGACTTTTTGGCATTTTTTGGTCCCCGAATCGGGGAATAAAATTCAAAGACGACAAAAAAAAAGAAACCGAACCTCTTTACTTTTGAAAGAAAGTTCACCTAGCTTCACTTCGTCTCTTTCTCACTTGTTGTCACCACGTTGATTTATTGAATACGTTACAATTACTTTTATTTTTCCCTGTTTGTGGTGTTTCATTTTGTTACTGTGTATTTTTTTCTTTCTTGTTACTGTTCTGATATAATGTTGTTTTTCTATCAATGTTTTTTTGTTGGGGAAAAGGGGAGGGGGGGAATGTTGTATAGTGTAACGTCATTTAATTTGATGTTCCTACCTTCATTAAATTCTAAATATATGTGTATACATGTATACATATAGATTTAAATGCGTTATAGTAGAGAGTACGTTCCACCAAAACCGATTACATGTATACTGACACTGTCAGGCCCCTTAATGTGTGTGATTCCATAATTTACATACGTAATATCCTGTACTTTGTTTTAAAATTATGCACATTTAGGGTTAAAACAGCCAGTCTTTCTTCAGACAGGTGGACACATGCCCTTATTTGTTAATTTTTGTAGTTGTTTATGGGCTGTTATAATTTTGATTTCATTCTGTTGTGAAACCTTTCTTTTTCACGTTTTTACACTCATCTAAAAATCTCTAGACTAGCTCTTGAGAATTGAAATAGATCTAGACCCAAAAATTTTCTCCTTCCCAGACCTATCAGAATGGCAGAATGAAAGTTGGCACAGAACTCTCTCGCAAATAAGCAAAAAATCATGAGACCGGAAATCATTCGGAGAAATAAAGATCGGCACTATTTCTCCGAACGTTCGGAGAAATAGTCACTTCGTTTTTTTAATGGAGTTGAAAAATACCAAGTCCTCCTGAATGATATGGCTCAAATGTGGAGGCAAGCCATAAAGGATCTATAGATCATTTTCCTCACACATGCTAGCTTCATTTGTAACATGGCTTGCATGACCATCCACAAAAAGCACTGACCTGGTTTCTTTATTGATGCCGTCTGAGGAACAAACATCTTTGATCCAGCCAGCGAATAGCTCGTTTAATATGATAAAATATAACATTGCCATAGCTGGACTTCCCCATATATATGCAGCTTCAAATACTTTCAAGAGGGTGTAATTGAATTACTTGCCAGGGGAAATCAACATTGGTGTTACAAATTGATTGTTTCCACTTGCACAAGCAAGACATGTTATGGTGGTCTCATTGTTACTTGTAATTATGTGTAAATGTGTTTGTCACCCTTCATGCCCAAAACTTCTTAACTTTTGGGGCACAATTGGAAACCACTTTCATCCGCATTAAAGATACGGGCAAGTTCCAGCAGTAAGCTGGCCTCAGTCCATAGAATGGTACCTAGTCTTGAGCTCCTCAAACGGCCCCCGCTCTCTTCTGAGACGTAAGCCTGCTGCACACTCAGGGCCTAGGGCTGTCGTAACACAATCTCTGGGTGGCGTTTCCTAAATCTGTAATACAAGGTTTTTCCTGGCAAAGTGTTATTGAATGGTGAAGAGCCGCCCCTTTTGTCTAAAGTTTTGTACTGACTGGCAAAACTGATCTCCTGTTCTGCCAAACCCTCTTCGACTCATTTCGATTACCCACTTTGCAATCTCATCTTCTTCCTGGTTAGTCAACACCGTTTTTGGAAGACCATTCATTTCCTCTGATCTCCTCCGTCCTATCCTACTGTCACATGTTGCTATGAATATTGAAAAGCCAGTGTACTTTATTTTCTAAATGCTTTTTGTATTCATAAAAAAAAATTGAAATGTATAGTGATTTTGTGTACTACGTGTACTCTTTCTTTTCACAGGTGTGACTTTGGAGTAATTGTGTAAAGCAAAGCAGGTAGCCATGTACATGTACAATTTGACCCTGCAGCGCTCTCAAGGCATTGTTGCTGCCATTCATGGAAACTTCTCAGGTTCAAAACTGCAAGAAATTGTGGTGTCCCGAGGGAAGGTCATTGAACTGTTCCGACATGATCCAAACACAGGGAAAGTGTTCCCTGTTCTGTCAACAGAAGTTTTTGGTGTGGTCAGATCCCTCATGCCATTTCGACTTACGGGAGGCACAAAAGGTACATTTTTATTTAAAAATTTGTTTTTGATTAATTATAATTTCCATTAGCTTAATAAATATTTTTGTCAACTGTAAATTAAGTTCAGAAGAGCATTTTGTCAAAGTGCATTAATTTATGTCAAATGCTAGGTTTTGTTTCACTTATACAATACTTACTTTAATGAGGGTTTGATTTTAGTGTAGATTCTAGTTTCTAATCAAAACTGAATTGACATTACTCAATCACAAAATCATTTTCCTTGTTTTTCAGATTACGTTGTCGCCGGTTCAGATTCTGGACGGATTGTGATTCTAGAATACATCCCATCCAAAAACATATTTGAGAGGGTTCATCAGGAGACGTTTGGCAAAAGTGGATGTCGCAGGATTGTGCCCGGCCAGTATTTGGCTGTTGATCCCAAGGGAAGAGCTGTCATGATTGGTACACCTTTTCTTTTCAATTTTTTTACTTTGTGTAGTTTTTATCTTGTAGATTACTTATTTCCCAGTGTGGCTGTAAACAAGTGCTATCGTAATACTGTGGGTGTCGCATTCAACGAGGTTGCCGGGACCGGCTTGTTGTCCTCGTTGGATCTGACCTCTCGTTGAACACGTCAGTGTGCGCGTGTTTGAGCCGTGTTCTGACCGTCATTTTTGATTTTTAAAAATATTTTTCTTTTCCGTAACTCTTCTTGTGTGGAAATATACCTTCTCTCATCTAGGCCTAGATCTAATAAAGTGAAGACGGGAGCTTGGATTTTCTGATCTGGGAAAGAAAAGAAATTGACAAAAATGAAGGTTTCGATCTAGACCTACCCATCCAGAGTTCATCCAGTTTGCACTGCCCGCATCGCGTTCCCACCCACCCCCTCCCATCCCTACCGTAGGCTAACCCTTGCCCATCCTCTTGGCTTTGGGGCCCATTTTAGGAGGCACACTAGATCTAGCAGTACTATGTGTTAGGAATGGAGGATGGGCCTTGTGCTTCGCGTGAGATGGAGAGAAAGGAGAAACATTCTTCGCTTTTGGGTCCCCTAATTGCTTTTGTTTGGTTATCGCAACCTCGTTGGAGCTGACGTACATTTACAAAGAAGATATAGAGGGGGGAAAAACGGGGATTAAGGATTGCCTCGTTGTAGCCGACTTCTCGTTGAATGTGACCTCGTTGAATGCAGCACCCACTGTATTGTATTTTTAAGTCAAAATAAGAATTGGGTTATTTTTTAATTTTATGAAATAGATAATGAATGAAAATTTGTAAACAATTTTTTCTTTAATTGAATTTTTTTTAAACATGTATGTATGCTAGACTAGTTTTAGAAGGATTTTGGTTCATGCATCAGGACAAATCCTCAGGAGCTAAATGGTTAAAATGCTGACAGCTCAGCAGTGTCCATTAAAATCATTTCGTAGTAAAAACCTCTAAGTGCACTTTTTACAAATTTTCTTCACTAACTTTTTCTTGAATTAGAACATAATTCTGTGAATGTTATTAGCAGTTGATGTCACTTTAAAAAAATTGTTCTTGGCATTTTATCCAGGATGAAGCTATTTGATTCGAAACTAATAATAATGGCATTTGAATTGAATATGGCTGCGGTAGTGGTAGATTTTATGACATGTCTGAACATTTTAATGCCACACAAAGTTTGAAATATCATATGACCATTTTTGCTCATTGTAATTCTGTGTTTAGAGAGTATTATCAGTTCAAAGTGATGTGATGCATTGTGAGCAGTGTGTGTTTCTTTTTAATCATGTCATTGTGATATGATTTTATGAATTGGTGTTTTTATTTTAGGTGCTGTGGAGAAGCAAAAATTGGTGTATATTCTCAATCGCGATGCTCAGGCACGACTCACAATCTCCTCTCCACTGGAAGCTCACAAGTCAAATACACTGGTGTATCATATGGTGGGGGTGGATGTTGGCTTTGAGAATCCGACCTTTGCTTGCTTGGAAATTGATTATGAGGTATTAACTAATTCCTATATGTATAGTTTGTTGTGATAGTCTAGAAGTAGTAGTTTGTAGGTTACTTTCATGTAATTGACCCTGGGTGTTGAAAGAGGATTGGTAAAAGATTAGTTGTTAAAAGACTTTTAAGAAGCCCTCTGGTAATGTTAATTTTAGTTCGGAAAGACGTAATTTGATAATAGAAACGGGTGTTTTTCTTCTTTTTAAAATGTTTTTACAATATTCATTTTTGGGATTTATATTGTGTTCTTTGTAAAGTCTACTATTCATACTATAATCTCATATATTCTTCTGTAGGAGGCAGATGGTGATCCCAGTGGTGAGGCTGCCCTGAAAACTCAGCAGTTGTTGACTTACTACGAGCTTGACCTTGGTCTTAACCACGTGGTGCGCAAACATTCAGAGTCACTGGAGGAGCATGCTAACTTTCTCATTTCAGGTAGGTGTGTTGTTGTGGATGAAACAGAATGTCAATTTTGACTTAAATGTGTTATTGCTGAATTATTGAAGAAAAGTTTGAGATGTATAAACAAGAATATGATGTAGCTGCTGACGATTTGATTTGAAGACCTCTGGCTGAAGACTGGCGTTCATAAAAGTTCTATGCACTTCTAGTCATTGGAATTTAATATTGATTATAAGAAGATGAACAGTTTGTTTCAGTCTAGACTTAGTGTTGCTATTTCTTAATACAACAATGGATGTTTTTGTTTTTTAAGATTATTTCATCAAATTTTTATGGGACTGCAAAGACTTTGTGTTCACTAAGATAATATTTTAGAGATTATCCATCTTTGTTTCTGTAGTTTTGAGATTTGACATGAATTTGATTTGCAGCTTTATACATTTTTGTACATATATTTTTCCCCACATTTATTAATAGTTCCTGGGGGTCACGATGGTCCGAGTGGAGTGTTAATTTGCTCTGAGAACTACATCACATACAAAAACCTTGGGGATCAGCCTGACATCAGATGTCCTATCCCACGCAGAAGGGTCAGTATTTGTCTATTAGTTTAGTTTTAGTAGAGGTTTTACGGCGCTCGCAACTGCATAAGTATTTGTCTATAATATAATTTTTGGTTTGTGGTAGTACAGTTGAACCTACTCCCAGAGCCACTTCCCATTGCCTTCCTTGTGTATTTACTGACATTACAATGACATTGTGTAAGACTGCCACTTTTCTCAACAAAAGATGGTTGTTTTAGACAGTTTCGGCTGTATTTGTATTTGATTACTTCTTGTAACTTCTTTCTCTCTCCCCCCCCAAAGAAAGAGCTTACGCAGCGGTAGTGTTGGAAGAGTTTTTAGGATCCAGCTTATGTAAGGCAGTTGGTGAAGGAGAAATGGCTGATCTAGTGTTGTGCCTTTCTTTGTTATAATTAGCTGCAGAAACAAACAATTGGTTCAGGGCTCAATTCAAGATAATATATCGTGTAAAGCTATTGTTGCTATTGTTTAATCTGCTGCCATGCACTGTAAAACGTCTTTGTATTTTCCTGTTTAAATTAAATTGGTTTTGTTGTCTTTTTCTTTTCTTATGAGAAAGAAAGTTGTGTTGGCCCCATTTGTAAATATGTTTTTTAAACTGCAATTACGATTCTGGAGTAATAATGTTTTGTTATCTTTATTTTCAGTGTGATCTGGATGATCCTGAGAGGGGAATGATTTTTGTGTGCAGTGCCACTCACAAAACAAAGGTTGGTACATATATTTGTTTATTTTTATCGGGGAAAATCGTTGAGATTTTTTTTTTAAATAAAAAAAAATAGGGGGCTCTCGTGGCCTAGAGGTTAAGGTGTTGGCCTCTCATTCAAAGGTCCCGGGTTCGAATCCGGGTAGCGACAGAAAAATTTTCTTCTCTAAAATTGTCTTCTTCTACTGCTGCTCCTTGACTCCTTCTTTCAGCTGTCTTTCTGCCACACCCCTGATCTTCTGGTAGGAAAGATCTACACCTAGCCTTCTCGGACAAGGGCGAAAAATCTCGGAGGTCCTGTGTGCAAGTTGCGCACGTTAAAGATCTCTTGGTGGTCTAAATTCGATAAGAGTAGGCTTTGGCCGCCACGCGGGCAAAATTCAAAATTTCCTACCAACGAAAAGTATTAAGTGTGTCCCGCGCGCTCATATGACTTTATGCAGTTGTGAGCGCCATAAAAACACTTACCAAAACAAACAAAACAAAAAAAACTGATTACAAATGCAGGAGAGGACAGGAGGAGCTATTTTGTTGATAAAAGAAGTGGGTTTTTTAGAATTATATTTCCTTTTTGCCATGAACATTATCTTTCATTTTCAAGTTTTCTCAATGCCAAAAATTGTGTATTCTTCAGCTTTCCTTTCCTGGAGGAGGCAGAAGCAAAAATTTGTCATATGGTATTTAACTTGTTTATTTATCTCTTTCTTGTCAACAGTCAATGTTTTTCTTCTTGGCACAAACTGAACAAGGTGACATTTTCAAGATAACTCTTGAAACAGATGAAGATATGGTAAGCAAAATACTTTATGAAAATGTGTTGCTCGGGTTCTTTTTAAGGATTCGAGATGTTTTATGATGTTATGGAATGCATGCCATAAGATTAGTGTAAATGCATTATTTTCTCTTTTTAGCTTCCATGCTGTTCACCCACACACACAATCCTTGTTTACAATAGCTTTTGCCCCAGTTTAGGTTCAGTTTTAATAGTGCAGGGGTGTAAATCTTTTGCGAAATTACTGAAATCAGTTGTTTGTTTAATGTTGGTTTAGGACTCCGTCTTTCCTGTAAAATGAGGAGTAGGGATACAGAAATTGAGAGAAAAGTGGAAGAATTAAATTACAGTAATAATGGTGGCTACCTCATATGAAGTCAGTAATGATAGAATACGATGATTGTCTGTTAATATATTGGGACAAATGGAAATCAAAATCCTCTGGAAATAATTATACTCCCTAGATGAGGATTGGTACTCATGGTGTGAGTATAGCTTTTACGGTGGTTGGGGAAAACAATTTGGATGCAACATCTCCAATTGTAATCATAGTGCATGATCAGAACAAAGGAAATCTCAAATGGGTGACAAAAATTTGAAGTGAGGATTGTGGATTTCTAGATCTGTCTGGTTTGCATGTGTTGGGGTACAAAAGACAGCGGAATCGTCCTTTGCGTGTGGCATTTTGTTAAATCTTTTCCGCTATATTGATTTCAACAGAGATTTATTTTAATTTTTTAAATTTAGTACAGTTTTGTTTTGCTTTCATTTTCATTCCCTTTCCCGATCTGTTTTGAAAAAAAAAATGTTCTTTGTTTTCTTTTTTAGGTAACAGAAATCCGTTTGAAATACTTTGACACAGTTCCTGTTTCAGCAAGTATGTGTGTCTTGAAGTCAGGTTTTCTGTTTGTTGCAGCAGAGTTTGGAAACCAGTGAGTCCTTTCTGTCAAGTATTTTCCTTTTTAAATAGAATCCTTTTTCACCTGTGTGTAATCAGTGTAACAGAACAATTAGACGTTTCTTGAAAGTTGGTCTCTGATTGAAAAGAAGATAGTACTCATGAAGCAAAATGATTTTCGGTATATGCTGTGGTCAGGGATGTTGCATTGCAATGTTGTTAACTTTTTAGTCATTTACATTCTCAGCTGTATGCTAATCTAATCCTTCGAGAATGTAATGGCAATATTATCATTGAAGTTGCAGTCGCATTTGTTCAATATATGGTTAAAATCTCTTGCTCGTCATGACATTGAAGACACTCCCGGTGGAGCCAATGATCAGTGGTTGTGTCACACAGCCAGCAGTACAAAATGCCCCATCTGGTCACCCAGTCAGGAGAGTGACTGTAATGAACTTCTCGGGCCAGGTGACCAGAACAGATCATTTTCACCTGCGGCAGGTGGCCGCAATGTGTTATGTAAGTGTAGGATAATTCTGAGTGAATAAGGTGGGTTTTTTTCAATGTGAAATTTAGAAAAGCATGGTTATTATGGGCATTGATCAGACTGGTTTGTTACTTTTTATTAATTGTACTCACAAATTGCTTCACTATTTGGCACATACTTATTATCCTATTCATTGAAAGTTAAATTAAATGTGTTTTTTTACTTTCCCAGTCACCTGTATCAAATTGCCCATCTGGGAGATGATGATGGAGAGAGAATGTTCAGCAGTGCGAACCCCTTAGAAGAGGGAGACACCTTTCACTTCTCACCCAGAGAGCTGAAGAATCTGGTCATGGTGGACGAGATGGACAGTCTTTCTCCTATAATCACAGCCCAGGTATTGATAATGATCTTTTACTAGAAGCTATTGTTGTAACTCCGGTTTCAATGGACATTGATATTTGTGCAGCATTGGTCTTATAATGGTGGTTCACATGGCAAAGTAGACATAAAGCGTACGAGAAATGAAAATGGGGAGGCAGCACAAGGATGTTGATCTGCAACTGTGGCATCATCTCGTTCTCTTCGGGTGGTACATACATGCCTTCACTGCTGCTTGCTTCTCCTTCATCTTGTGTCTGGTCTTGACCTTCCATTGGTTATACGAGGGGCATACCAAAAGTTTTTTTCACCTGACGTTGAAGGAGTAAAGCTAGAAAGCTTGAAATTTTTTCATCCAGTGATGAAACTATTGAAAAGTGCCTGCTTGCTTTTTATAGCCCTAGTATGTGAAGCAGGTACTAGGAGCACGTGAACATAAGTATGCTGTTATTTTCATGCCGGGGGGGGGGGTTAATCCAGTTCATGGTGGGAGTTACACTTATTATATCAGTCGTGATTGCCTTCGGTCCTTAGCATCTTCAAAATTATTTTTGAAATTGTAAAAAGATGGTAAATTCTTCCGTTTGTCTGAAAATGGCCTTTCTTTCCCCAGATTGCTGATTTGGCTAATGAAGACACACCCCAGTTGTACACATTGTGCGGGCGTGGTCCCCGCTCCACACTCCGTGTACTTAGGCATGGTCTTGAGGTAACTATCATCTCACATTCATTTTACTTTTGTGCTACAGAATGTCATTTACAGCTGTAATTTTGAGTCTTGGCTTTTGTGAGCTACCAGTATCTGTCCTTTTTCAAAATGCAGCATTTTGTAATGGGTCTGAAAAAGTTCTCCCCCCTGAGTTTGGTATATTATGTTCTTTTTTTTTTTCTGGTTTCTAAAAAAGTCTCTCTTCAATGATTTTGCCACACTCAATTCTTATACGATGGACAAATTATTGTGAAGGTGATTAAAGTCTTATGCCAGTTCATGATTAATTTACTGTTAATCGTGTTCACCAGGTCTCAGAGATGGCTGTGTCTGAGTTGCCCGGTAACCCCAATGCTGTGTGGACAGTGAAGCGTCACACTGATGGTGAGTATGATAGAGGGATATACTTCTGTGCCAAAGTAGCTGCCACAGCAGAAAATAAGACTACTTGCAACCCATAAGTCTCTGCACATAACGCATTGTAACTATACCTTGTAGCTTAACTTCAAGATAATATGGGTGGGAAAGAGATGGTGGACAGTCAAGGCAGAGGTGAAAATCCTTGCATTTCAATATTCTGTGAAATGTTTGCTCTCCTTCACCTGCCTTTGGCAATGCTGTTTTCAGCACTCATCTTTAAGGTCAATTAAGGTAAGGGGTCCTTGGTGGGGAAAGCAACAAATGTGTGTTAGAAGGGGCTTTTTGTGCAGATTTTGAATGGTTCTGGTTCTTGTACTTGTTGTTTAAAGGTATTTTGTGGCTTTGTCTCATTCTCTGTATACAGTATCATACACAAGGAGATCTGTTTCCTTCTTTATTTTAAGTATAACTCCTAACCAGGCTTACTGTCAGCAGTCCGTGTCAAACGTCTTGGCATTGGCATTGTATTTTGTCGTGGGTCTTGCCTACCATTGCTACACCCAGTATCAAAAACCTTCCTCCAAACAGTTTAATGACAGGCTGGCTGGATTGCTCAAAATCCAATGCCAAGCCTACTTTCTTTCTCCAGGTGATGAAGCCTCGTCAACAAATGTGTGAGGTAGGTGTTCACAGTGCTGACAGTGCCATCAAGAATTTACAAAAGTGGATAGTTGTATGTCCTGTTTGTTTTGACTCACCCAGCCTGAACCCTTGGGGAAATGTAATTTTTTGTTTGTAGTACAGCTTGAGACACTGTGTCATTACTTTGTTCTTTAAGATGAAAAAGTATATATTTTTATCTGATTTTATTAAATGGGTGATTGTTGTGGTGTATACATTTTTTTTTTTTTAATGGAATGATTTAATAATGCTTGTGCAGCCAATTATTGGTTGGCCCTTGTGGGCTGAGTGAGTTGAAAGTTTTATGTGTGTGATGAGGATATAAATGTTATGATATTGGTGCCTAATGTTACAAAGAAATTTGTTTCGGCTTCTCAAATGCTTTAAATTTCGGCATAGTGCTACAATATGAGTGAAAATTTAGTTGATCCAATGCTTGGTTATGGTGATAATATATGAACAAAAAGTGTCACTCAAAGAGAGTTACAGCAGTTGCATACAGAGCATGGAGACAATAGTTTCTTTCCACGTATCACTCTTGTGCTGTCAAATTTTTATGCTCTCGGTCTGGTGTGATCAGTTCAGGCAACTAGACCTGCATGTTTGCCGACAATCGTCTGAAATCCGACAATCACGACCCGACCCGACCCGCGAGCTGGCCGATGCTATCGCTAGGCCCACCTGTATCAGTCAATGTGGGTAGTGCGAGGCCTGGCCGACTGCCAGCGCCCCCCTTTTTCTCCCGTCGGCTTTGTCGGCACTTTCGTTTTCGTGCCGACGTCGGTGTTTCCGACATAATTGTCGGAACCTGAGTCGAAATGCGAATACGAAAAAGGACGACGACCTAAATTATCTACTTTCAGTTTCGTGCTCGAGCGGCCATTTTGAATTTCGTTTGTTGACTAATTCAATTGCTCAGATCATGTGGATCAAGTCCGACTCACTTGTTCTAATAGAATCTAGATCTAGATCATTATAGACCTCAATGGAGGATTCATATTCCAATTCTATTGTGTCAAACCCTATCATAGGTTGTGCTGTAATATTAATGTTGGTAAAAAGCATTTCATCAGGTGCGTGAATTATTTATTTAGACTCGGCTGAGTCCCTCTGTCCGGAATCGGGTGCGGATTTCTAGTTCAAGGCCTATTCCTATTCACTTGTTCTACAAGATCTAGATCTAGATCTAGATATATTTAGATTTCTAGATCTATATGGAGGATTCTCTTGTGTTATTGTATCAAACCCTATTATAGCAATGAAGATGTAGGCCATATAATTATGCCATATTATGCTCCTTGTTTGTTTTGGAGTGTGGTTTTTAATTTTTAATTTTTTAAATATTTTATTTTGGACTTGTGCTGGCCTTTTTACATGAGGCCTGTTGCAGGTTCTTTTTTGGGGCAGGCCTAGGGATAGGGTTAGAGTTAGGTCTCTTCTTTATTGTGTTTGTTGGGGTTGTCGCTCGTTACTCGGAAGTCCTTCCTTATGACACCCACAAAATTGTCAAAAGCTCTTATGGGAGGGGGGCGGGGTGGCAAAATTTTCAGACAATCTGGTTGAGGCTCACATGCAGGTCTAGGCAACCTTGCTTTAGAGAACGAACAAAGACTCGTCGGGGGGGGGGGGGGGCTTGTCCAGAAACAGTTGCAAATAATTTCCTAACTGCGACTTCTTGTTGTTTTGTGGGGGGGGGGGGGGGGGGGTGTCCCTATATATGATACATTGTCTTTCTTTCATTCAGAAAAGAAATAATTTGTGCATTTCTTTACATTATGTCCCATGAGCTTTTTCTCAAACCAAACTAAACTATAGTAAAAAGACAACACCATTACTAATTGTGGAATGTTTTGTTGTTTTTTTTGTTTTTTTCAGATGACTACGACGCTTACATCATAGTGTCTTTCATGAGTGCTACGCTGGTTCTCTCTATCGGAGAAACTGTTGAGGAAGTCACAGACTCAGGTTTCCTGGGTACCACCCCCACAATTTCTAGTTCTCAGCTAGGAGATGATGCCTTGGTGCAGGTCAGTGAAAAGGCCACAGCTGTAGGGACTAGACCTTGTGTTATCATTCTAACTCTGAGTAAATTTCAAAGTAGATCATTTGATTTACTTGTTCACTTTGTAAAATATATTAACAGAACTGGGCTTTATTGATATTGCCATGAATAATCTTAAAACTTGCAGAGGCAACATGATATTGAGAGAGGAGCCTTTTTTAAAAATTCCAAATCCAAGAATCTGCTCTTTGCTCCTTTGTTTTCTTATTCCTTGTGTCCTTAATTAAGATATTTGTATTCTAAAAATGTTGCTTCAGAATTGGATTTCGTAAATCCACATTTTTACTTCCTTGAAAGTATAATGTTACCAAAACCTGTAAACAAATTAGATATTAATAGATATGAATTTAAAAATCTAATGATAGCTTGTGGTTGGTATCAAATTAAAATAGAAATGATTTGTCTTTTGCTAGGTTTTTGTAACCTTTTTTCTTCGTTATGTACAGTTGAAATAGATGTGATTATACGTATATACTGATATCACAATAATTTTACTGTCAGATTTATCCTGAGGGGATCCGTCATATTCGATCAGACAAGCGTGTGAACGAATGGAAGACCCCTGGAAAGAAGACGATCGTAAAGTGTGCTGTGAACCAGAGACAAGTGGTCATTGCCCTCAGTGATGGTGAACTGGTTTACTTTGAGATGGACCCTGTAAGTACCTTCAATCATCTAACCTGTAGCTCTCTATCTTGCTCTTTGGTTACTTTTCTACTTGCCCTGTTGAGGTTCTAGTATCATGGATTTGTAATTTTTTAGAGTTTACAAATTAATCTTCTTCCAGTTCCAGAACATTTGCCAGTCACATTCTGAACGGGCAGGTAACACAGGCTTTCACATTTTTCTTTTACACAGGTTCTTTGATACTAATCTGAACAATAAACTTTTCTTCCTTCAGTTTATTGGATTATTTGTACTTACAAAAACCAAAATGATTTCTTCCCCCCCCCTTTAGACTGGCCAATTGAATGAGTACACAGAGAGGAAGAGCATGACCAGTGCTGTGGTGTGCATGGCTTTGGGGCGTGTACCTGCTGGGGAGCTGCGGTCTCGGTTTTTGGCTGTTGGCTTATCTGACAACACAGTGAGAATCATCTCTCTGGATCCCAATGTGAGTTGCTTCAGCAAAATAATGTGTGTTTGTGTCCAGCCGATATCATTTTGTCTATAGTCGCTCAAGTTTTTATTATTTATTCAGAGTGGATGAAAGATGTCGTTCGTGTTGAATATTCTAAAACATATATGACTGATTTTCCTGATACTAGATATTTATATGATTTTATTGGTTGGGCTAATTTATGGAGAACTTGCTGGGTACCCCGTTTGATGAACGGACTCAAAAGAATCGATGGTCAAGTCATTTTGGGATCAGTGTGCGCTGCATGTGAACGTAAGCCTCGCTTGTTTACAATGGCGTCTTACAAGACAGGCTTTCTCAAGATTAGGGCAAAACGGAACTAACGAAAAACTGAAAATTACTCGACAGTGACTTCATACTCCTTAATATAACTGTACACCCTTTAAATGATTCTGGACCACTGTTAATTTTTTTTTTCAAATTCATTGGTTAAGTTGTTCGAAAGTCTTAGTCAACCTAAGTGACGCACTTGAACAAATATAATGTAGATAAGATCCGCCGCCTGCACTTCAGTACAAGTCCACATTTCTATTGATATCCTGTCTAATTGACATTGCACTATTATTGTCTATCTTTGGTCGCAGGACTGTTTATCACCACTGAGTATGCAGGCTCTCCCAGCCCCACCAGAATCTTTGTGTATCATAGAGATGGGAGGCACTGAGGCGAAGGAGGAATCTGGCGAGGCGGGAACTGCTGGAGGCATATATCTGAATATTGGTCTACAGGTAGTGTTTTCTGTGTACATAGTGAAATGTTTGGCTGTCAGTAGAATGGAAATATGTGAATGATAGCGTTAAGACTGCCTGACAGGGACTGAAAATGTACATGGAATAAGTGGTCTGGCCAGCAATTCTTGAGGTCATATGAGTGTTTTGTTGAAAAGTGTTTTACAATGTATCATTTTGTTAAGTTATAAAGGGCAAGCTAGTCTTAAATATTTGAAGATATGACTGTGTGAAGACTTTCCCATTGTTGTTTAAGGCTTAGAGGTCATTGAATATCTGATAAATTTTATGTTTGTGGAGACGATGAAAAGAGTTAAACTATATGTACATAACACATCATATTTAAGTCACAGCTCTAATTTTCATTTATAATTTTGGAAGAGTAACATTTGATTGTCCCTTCTTAGTTACAGGTGCATATGTGTCTATTGTGTTCAGTGTACTACAGTAATGGCTTCAGTTGGAAGAACACCACTCTCCATAGCTAACCTTGAACAACAGTCTACCACCGTATAAAACAATGTAAATGTGCGTTCAGGTATTTATCTTTCTTTTTGCGCAGTGGGTAGCTTGTAACATTGCTCTATCCCAAAATGCAACATCTGGCCTATGACTGTGATATCTTTCCAGGTATTTATTCATGTATTTTTTGGTCTGATTTCAGAATGGTGTGTTGCTGCGTACTGTGCTGGACACAGTGACAGGTGACTTGTCAGATACCCGCACCAGGTACCTGGGCTCCAGGGCTGTCAAGCTTTTCAGAATCTCTATGCAAGGTTCAGAGGCTGTAAGTTGCACTCACATCTGTTCTTTATTTTATTTTTTAAGTTTTAATGAGTTTCTCAATTGATAAAAATTCATCCAAAATGTGTAAGTACTGGTTTGGAAAGTAAAAGTTCCTATTCTGCATTCCCTTGAAAATCAAACTCTGGGCTCTTTAAAGGAAAGTGTGTCTGGTTAGGAATGATTATGTAATCAGGTTATTCAGGGAAGGTATATTTGTTCTTTATTTGTCCTTAGCTTTTGAGCTTGGCATTATTCTTGGAAATTTAAAATAGTCACTTTTAAGTAAAATATAGAATGTATTCACTTTGCGCTTTTCACAGTCCTGTTTCTGTTGTTTATTAATTACTTAATGAGACAGGTGACTGAACGTGATTACAAATTTTCTCTGAGCCCTTTCCTTACGAATGAATATACTTATGGCCTGGATAAAAATGATTCATTTCTGTGGGTGTTAAATCTTATCTACCAGAAATACTTTCATGGATTTTCCTGTACAGCCAGAATTAAATCTGTACTGTCATTTGAAAGTTGTATGAATTTTTATATCATAAACGAATGGATTCAGATATATCTCGTCCACCAAACCAAAAAATTAACAATGGGCAACATGAAGGAAGCATAGAGAGTGAGAATAGATGCAGAAAAGCAGCTGTAACAATTCTGAGTGGGAAAGAGACTCTGACACTAGATCTAAATTTGTTGGTGATACAACACCGTTACAATTAGAAAAATACACATTCAAGTTTCGAATTCTCACAAAGAAAGGAAGTGTAAACATGTATTTGGGGGACTGAATGGAAATGTGTATTAAATTAGGGGACATGAAAATGACACGCTCTGTGTCATTCTGGCAGATGGGGGTAAACAGAAACGACCCAGAGCATGTTGTTCTGGTTGATAGGAGTAAGAAGTTTTAGGCAGAGAAAAATAATGTTTTGATTGACAATACCATCTTGCTAGAGTGAACAGTCATGGTGACAGCATTCAGTTGTACTGATGTAATTAACTCTGTTTATAAATATATTTTTCTTTTTCAGGTGTTAGCCATGTCTAGTCGCACGTGGCTGAGTTACACTTATCAAAGCCGATTCCACCTGACCCCTCTCTCCTATGAAACACTTGAGTATGCATCTGGATTCGCTTCCGAGCAGTGTCCTGAGGGCATTGTCGCCATCTCAACAAATACTCTGAGGTGTGTTTTTGTGCAGCAAAAGGCTTGAATTTATGAATTTGTTGTCACATTTGTAATGATTTGTTAGGATTGAATTGTATATTCATAGAATTTTGGCAATAGCTCAGGATGTACAAAGGAATTGATTTAAGTTCAAAGTTGATTTAATTCTTATGAATCTTCCCTGTTGCGTCATGGATCTTTGCTTTACTCCTCTGCAGTCGAATGATGAACATTCTTTCTCTCATCTGATGTGTGTATGGAGATACCCTACGGTACTCTTTTCTGACTGACTGCACTGAAGTCGCTGTTTTAGGTGTCTGGAATTTGTAGACGTGGAATGCTATTAACTTGACTACAGTTGAACCTGCCCTGACAGCCACTTTCCATTCCCCTCCCCTTGCGTTTTTTCTAAATTTAACTGTGTAAAACGGCCACCTGTCCGCCGTGGCAACCATATTTAAACACACAACCCCTATCACACCAGGCAATAACACCTGTCTTAGACAGCCACCTTGTTGACTCCATTACGTTCTGTCATATATCATGCATTGGCCCCTAGCGTTGTGGGCGAGCCGTCATAATCCAATCACCTGTCGTTGTTAGTCCCTCCGACCAATCATGTTGCGCAGGCCCCTCCCACTATTGACCAAAAGCTACCAATTTTCAGCTCCTGGTTAGCATGTGATCCCGCATAACCCTTAAGTCACGCCGGGAACTCGTACACAAATTAGTGAGATGAGTGGTCACTGTTTCCCCAGTCTGTAACAAAGTAACAATGGACGTCACCATGAACTTGTGACAGAAACATCGCATTGTTCTCCAAGTGGTGGCGACCCATGTGTTTGTTTTAACATAGCACTCGGTCTTCCTCATCTGATACATTTAGTTTTATTGTCACCCTTGCGCAAAATCAGCAACAAAATACAAACTAACAACAAAAACCACAGCAAAGCTGCTACTTTCGATTGGGACCTCAGTAAGACGGCCACCTCTCTTATACGGCCACTTTTCTCCTTGACAATGGGTGGCCGTCTTACACAGGTTTGACTGTATTTAAAAGGGGGGGAGGCTTGGAAGTTTTATAGATTGTAGTCTGCAGTGAGGGAGATTAGGGGTTTTCATTTTTGCACTGTGTGGTGTATGATTTACAATCTCTCAATATATTTGTGCATCCCTTCCCTCCAGAATTTTGGCTCTAGAAAAACTGGGAGCTGTTTTCAACCAGGTGGCATGGCCCCTACAGTACACACCACGCAAGTTTGTCATTCACCCAGAGTCGAACAACCTTATCATCATTGAGACAGATCACAATGCCTACACAGAAGAGACTAAGCAGCTGAGAAAACAACACATGGCAGAGGTAATGTACTTTTAATTGTCTTAATTTTTCTTCTTTTGAAGGACTAGTGTTTTTCTGTGATTGCAGGGTTTCCGGAAGGATTCTGTGAGCATCAATCTGGGTTTTGAGAGTTAAAATTAAGTAAATGTAATTTTTCTAATCCTTTGTTCCTCTGCTGCAGTCATTAATGATGAACATTCTTTCTCTCATCTGAGTTGACGTATGAAGACACTCAATGGTACTATTTTCTGAAATGACTGCTTTCCCCTTTTCAATAGTAACTACAAAAAGTTCATATGGGTCTGTTCATTATATCTGTTGTTTCATTTTTTAACTCTGTAGAATTATTATTCTCATTGAAATGATTTACACTGATGGTTGTCCGATAGTTTTTTGTGAAATCCCTGTTACCATGTTGGTTTTTTCCCCCTTTTTTGTTCTATGCATTGCCACTTCCCCTAAACATGAAGAAATTCTCTGGTTTCATGAAATTAGTGTGATCAGGGCTTTTACTTTTACCAAGGAGATGGAAGACAATACATAGAAGCAGAAATCTTTCATTGCTGTGAACCAGAATTTTTTCTTTTTGTTGATATAAAGTGTAAGTGTAAACATGTTTCCTTTTGCTCATAGGATGAGTAAGATAGTTTGTAGTGGAACATTTTGGGACTTCATTTTTGTCTAAAGGCTTCAAATTCCATTTTTAAGGTTTGAGTCTCCATTTATTCTTTCACTCTTCTGAATGATATATCGAGATATTATTTGGTACTACTTCGTGATGAGGATCTGTTATACCCATCCAGTTTCGCTATTTCTTGAATTTTTTTCTTGCTTTTTACAGTTAATGAAGTATGCTGTTGCGAGCGCCGTAAAACCTCTACTAAAACAAACAAGTCAATGAAGTTGGATGGTTCTTAGTTTATTTCTATTTTATGTTCTTATTGATCAATCAATATGCAAAAGTTCTCAATGAACTCAGGAATTGAAGTCTGCCGGTGAAATCTAAAACAGCTTTCCCACCTTTTTATGGTCAAAATTGAAGTCAAAGGAATGTTTACTTACCACACAGATGTGACTGAAAGCAAATAATCTGTCAAATTTTAGTGCTGTGTTTGCTGTTTGTTTCAAACTGGTTTCCCTTCAAAACCTTTCGCAATTTCCTTTTTGCACTGCACGGGCTGTTCCTTGTGTAGGAGCATTATTATCAGAATTAAATGATTAAGCGATAGAATTTTGGTAAATAACTTTTCCTTTTGCAAGGTTAGATTTTTGTACAGTCATGAATGATGAACATTCTTTCTCTCATCTGAGTGACGTATGAAGACACTCTTTGGTACTACTTTCTGAATGGCTGAATCTCTATTTTATAAGAAGAGAATGATAATGTAACTGATGAAGATGAGTTAAAAATAACTAGGTGTGACCATTTCCTTGATTTTGCTTCTCCTCAAAAGTTGATGACATCATTGTGGCAAATGAGTATTACATATTTGTTCAATCCAGTATACTGTCAATCAAGTGATGGAAATGAAATATGAGTAAATTATGCATCAAAATAATCTTTTCACAGTTGTATCGGAACAGTTAATGTCAAAGGAATGTTACTTAAAGCACATGTGTTGGTGAATAGGCAAGAAGTGATGATTTTATGTCAGGTTTTTAGTTTTTGTAAGAGTTTTACAGAGCTTGAAATACAATGCGGTCATATAAGTGCCAAAGACTAGATGTGTTGCAAGAAAGTAATAAACACAAAAAAGAGGGAGGAGAGATCAGGGTGAAAAATTTTTGATAGGGGGGAAAGGAGCTAGCCACATCAGAACACCCGCACATTAGGGTTTAAAACTGCGCTCCTTGTTTTGTTTTTTTGACAGCAGTTCCTGAAATAACACATTTTTTCACTGCACGCTTCATTTCTATGAATAGAATGATGAACACGCTGTGAATTCATGGCACATACGTATATGTTCCTTTTGTAAGGTTAGATTTTTGTGCAGTCATGGATGATGAACATTCTTTCTCTCATCTGAGTGAAGTATGAAGACACTGAATGGTACTACTTTCTGAGTGACTGCTCAATCTCTTTTCATTTATAAAATGACAATGCAACTGATGAGGATCAGTTTAGATAAACAAGGTTTCAACTTTTCCTTGCTTTTGTTTCTCCTCAACATTTGACAACAACGCAAATATGTTTTTCTTTCTTATATTCAGAGTAATTAAATTTTAAAAATTGTTCAATTTGCCTGTTGGGAATCCAATATACTGTCAATCAAATGATGGATATGAAACCAGATAATTTGATATCAGATTTTGTTGCTTTACAGTTTGTTTCAAAGTGGACTCCCCACAAAACTGTTGCAATTTCCTTATTGCACTGTCTGTTCTTGTACTGCGTTATCATAGCTGCCACTTTTCTGCTAAATAATGGAAACTCCGCTTCATCTAGCTTTTCCCGCTACTTTCCCCCTTCCTCGGCTGGATCGTTCTCTGTCGCAAATTGCAATACTTTTTTTTTTACACATCATGGAAAACACAACCTGGTGTGAGACGAAAATGCACCTTGCGCATGTCCGCCCGTAGCTTCTTCCGTTCTGTGCCTAGTGCTAATTTCACATTGTTTATTGCGGAGCAACAGTGTCGATCGAGTATCGGGACGATAGCGTGCGGAGTTGTCTTTGAAACTGCAGAAAATTAGAGAGAAATTGATGCAGAATTAAAAAATAAATGGAGTTGGATTGAGAAAGGAGCAGACGGTGTGGGACTTCAAAGGTTCATAAGAAAATGGAACAAGCTGGGTGCGGCACTTTGCATTTGGTGCGATATAAAGAAATCTCGTAGTAAAGTGGCAAAGGCGCCTCCTTAATCCAATACTGCTCTACATCGTTGCACAAGTCGAAAGTGAAAGAAATATTTGTATGAGACACTAGCTGGCAACAAACACTGGATTTTTAGTCAATAAACTGGGTCAAATTCTTGTTAGTGGACCTAGTGTCTCGGGGGGGGGGGGGGTGCTTTTTTTTTTTTTTTTTTTAAATACATTTTAATTCAGTATGGTTAACAGATATGACAGTTTTCCATTCCAAAAACATAGATGTTCCAATATATTGCCTCTGGATCTCACTAGTTTTACTCCGACCTTCGGAGAGGGCACGTACTCCTTCGCGTGAATTTCCTCCTTTTTTTAAATTCCTAAGTGGCAGCTATGATTATGATCTGAATTAAATAAAGCAAAGGAAGAATTGTGATCAATGAATTTTTCAAGTGTCATTTTTATTATTTTTTGTGCAGTCATGAATGATGAACATTCTTTCTCTCATCTGAGTGAAGTATGAAGACACTGTATGGTACTACTTTCTGAATGACTGCGTAATCTCTTTTCATTTATAAGAATAACAAGGCAGCTGACTTGGATCAGTTAAGATGAACTAGGTTTCAGCATTTCCTTGATTTTGCTTCTTCTCAACAAAAATGTTTTTTTCTATTTTTAGCATAATTACATATTTGTTCAATTTTCATTTTGAAAATCCAGTTTCCTTTTACAAGTTGCAATGAGCAATTTCCATAATTGCACTGTCTGTTCTTGTGCTACATTATGATCTGACGTAAATAAAGCTAAGGAAGAATTGTGGTCAATGAATTTTCCAAATGCCATTTTTATTATTTTTTGTGCAGTCATGGATGATGAACATTCTTTCTCTCATCTGAGTGAAGTATGAAGACACTCTATGGTACTAATTTCTGAATGACTGCTTAATCTCTTTTCATTTATAAGAATAACAAAGCAGCTGACTGGGATCAGTTAAGATGAACTGGGTTTCAACATTTCCTTGATTTTGCTTCTGCTCAACAATTTAAAAAAATTTTTTTTTGCTTATTTATATATTTGTTAAATTTTCCTTTTAAGAATCCAATATACTGTCAATCAAGTGGTGGAAATGAAATGAAAGAGTTAATTGTATTTTAAAATGTGCTTTTCTCTTTTGAACTGAACTGTTAATATCAAAGGAATGTTACTTACTACGTGTTGGGGAATAGTCAAGAAGTAATGATTTCATGTTATGGTGTGTTCACTATTTGTTTCAAATTAGAGAAATAACTGGCATTTTTTTTTTCTCATCATTTCTTTACAGCATTTCTATGAATAGAATGACAAACATGCTGTAAAGTCATTTTGTTTATGTGCAGTCATGAATGATGAACATTCTTTCTCTCATCTGAGTGATGTATGAAGACACTCTATGGTACTACTTTCTGAATGACTGCATGCATTCCTTTATGTTGAAACAAATCCCAGTTATATAGATAAAGATCAGTCAGTTTAACGAAATCATTTGAATGAGTTTATCAATATTCTGGACAGAAAAGAGGAAACTGACCCGATGCAGAGCTGTCGATTTGTGATCTTTAGTTCAATACTTTCTTGTGCCCAACAAAACCCCTTCAATTACATGTAGTTGTGTGTCTCTCTCTCACTCTCTTCTCCCCCCCCCCCCCCCCCCCCCGGAAGAAATATCGCAGTACAACCTTTTTTTGAATAGGTGCACCCAAATGGCAAGGTTAACACTCACATATTAACTACCCTGTCATCTCATTATTTTTTCTTCCTTCAGTGTTTTGTTTTGTATGTGCCTAGTGAAGTTCAAATGTTAATTGGATTTTTAAATATTTTGTTTCTAATTTTTTACTTTTATGATCTATGCAGGAATTGATTGAAGCTGCAGATGAAGATGAGAGAGAATTGGCAGCAGAAATGGCAGCACAGTTTTTGAATGAAGACCGACCAGAGACCATATTTGGGGCCCCTAAAGCAGGCCTGGGTATGTGGGCATCAGCTGTGAGAGTGTTGAACCCCATCACTGGGGAGAACTTGGAGAAGATTTCACTGGACCAGAACGAGGCAGCTCACAGGTAGGACATGGTTCCGCTTCTCTATCCTGTCATTTTATGTATTTTAGACTAACAACAGATTCTGCTTAATCAGTCAAAATATTTCTTGTCAGTGTAATATATTGGACTTGGTTCATTGAGTTTCTTCTGAAGAACTTGGTGCATAATAGAAAAATAAACTTTTAACTATTTAAGTTGAATGTGTAAAGGGTAATGGTGTGAAATATTTTAACACGTTTTCTTTTCTCTTTTTTTCAGTGTTGCCTTGATCAAATTCGCCAACAGACCAGATGACACATTCCTCATTGTTGGCATTGCCAAAGACTTGGTGCTTAACCCAAGGTCTATAAGTGGTGGTGAACTGCTCACATATCAAGTAAGTTTGCTTGTTTTATTGTTTGGAAGCTAAAATTTAGTGGAGAAAAATGTCCATCAGATCTAAAGCATGCAGTAAACAATAATGTAAATTTTGTTATGCAAACGCCAGAGATTTATTTCTTCAGTTGAGTATTTTTGTGCCCTTAATTAGCGTTTTCTGTAAAATTCACATATAAAAGTGTTTTTGAATGAACATACAAGAAAATAAGGTGTTGAGCCTAAAAACAATAATTCAAAAAAATGTCCGAACTGGCCGAAAATAGCTAATTTCTCTGATTTCATTATTTTGACGAGCGCTTGATTTCACTTTGATGTCTCACATATATTCTAACACTTTGCAAATTTGATGTGTGGTACCTAAAACAAGCAGCTTGAGAGTAGGCACATGTGCACACAACTTTTGATTAAACTGCTGTGGTGAAAAATTTGGGGGGTGTTCTTTGAATATCTATACAGTCCTATGGAAGGTGCACAAATAGAATATCTCTAATAATTGTGGAACTGTATCATGTGTGTGTGCATTTTTCTGTTGCAGGTGACTGAAGGTGGGAACAAACTAGAACTTCTTCATAAAACTCCAGTGGAGGATATCCCAGGAGCAATCACCCCGTTTCAAGGACGCGTACTTATTGGGGTTGGCAGATACCTCCGTATCTACGATTTGGGCAAGAAGAAACTGCTGCGCAAGTGTGAGAACAAAGTATGGGGTTGTTTATCATCAGTGACTGCTTGTTTTTCTATTTTAATTGTACTGGTTCCCTTTAACATTATTATGAAGTTTGACGTTATTTAGAGAGGTCCGGTGCAATGTGGGTTTTTTTATTTGAAAAATTAGTCTCATCAGCAGGTTTTTTCAGACGTTTATGTTCAAAATCATTGTATAGTTGCTTGGTGCTCTACCATTCTGTGCTTCCTGCTCAGAGAGGCTTGTGTATTTTAAAAACCAATAGCAGGGCTGGCTGCTGGTCTGTAAATTGTGTTCCTTCTTCATATGACATGCAGTTTACTGTAAACAATGCAGTTTTCATCTGGTATTTTCACATTGCTCTTTCAATACCGATTTTGAAAGTGTACCTTTAGTTCATTGTCACAAAAATATCCACTGTTGAATAGCTTAGTATGCTTGGAGATGATGTTTTTCCGTGTTTCACCTGAAAATTTTTGTGATTACACTTATTATAATGCCCTGATCCAAGCTCATAGCTTTTTAGTAACGAACTAGGTAAAAAGATGATCATTGATTGTACGAATATCATTTATAAGTGTCGTTAAACTTTTAATATGTTCATAGAACTTAATTTCTATGGCTTCGCGTTTTCAAATCTGTTGCAGCAGGGGGATGGCGATGTATGAAATACCACAATATGTGATATTTGGTGCCTGCATTACATCTTTACTAGTAATTAGTGAAAGGGAGGGGGGTATTTTCATTTTCTTTGTTATAAACTACTTTCACTCATGGGTAAGAAGTTTTAAATTACTTGCTGTGATGCCCATACTTCTTGAGAAAAGATATCTTCATGGGTAATCTGTCATTTTTATTTGTTGGTTGTAAATATTTGTTTATGACAAAGCATAGGCCGTGTGAAACCTGTTTAGTCTGTGAGACATAATTTGTAGACAAATGAATGTATAATTATATGTGACTATGAAAGGTTTCCTGAAGTTTGTCACCACCGAAAAAGTACATTTCTAAAGTATTGTCGGGGATGGAGATATTCTGTGGATATGATGTTTTTCCGTGTTTCACCTGATTTGTTATGATTACAGCGTGATATTTTCCTGATCCACATACCCAGAGAACAAGGCAGTTATTCAAACTAGCAGTGTTTGTTTCTAGGCTATAAAATGAAAACTCATCGTAGTATATTTTACATTAGTCTTCATCCTTTTCACAGGATACTGTCAGGTTTGGTCATTAGTATGTGTGCCTGTACAAAAGGATGGCATGGGCCTGGTAAACTCGCTTAACATTTACATGTACCCTAGTCCCTGGGATGTTGCCAGATTTTTTTTACTTTTTTTGTCCCCCGAAGCTGCCACAGGACTTGCTTGATTGGGGGGGGGGTTTTCTTAACTAAAATATTAAATATTTCACTCTTGGGAGTTGAACTTTGCTAGCAGTGACAAGGAAAATATTTTTTGTATTTCTAAGATCAGAGAGAGGTGTGGATATGATGTTTTCCGTGTTTCACCTGAATCATTGTGATTACACCATCATATTTTCTGATCCACAATTCCCAAAATCCTGATCATCTCAAACCATTGCTTATCACTAAAAGTTTTGATCACATGTGTTAAATGTTCATTATCCAGCTGAATTACCGAGGGGTAATCAGTTGACTGTTGAATGAGCTATAAATAGTGATGAAAGGTGTTTCATTTCATTGCTCTGTCCTTATCAGGAAGTTGTTTTTTCTATATATGGGAGGACATAGAATTGCAAAGTTATTGGGATGCTGGTAAAAGTCTGGAAACCTATGTTCGTGATTCTGTGGAGCTAATTAGATTTATTTCCCGAAGTTAAGTGATCAAAGGGAATGATGCCTTACATCAACTTTATGAAATATAGGCCCTGTGTTTGAAGCTTATGCAATACTCTGTTTTTATCACCACCAGCATATTCCCAACTTTATTGTGAGCGTCCACTGCTTGGGCCAGCGTGTTGTTGTTGGGGATGTACAGGAGAGCTTTCACTTCCTACGCTATAGGCGGCCGGAGAACCAACTGGTTATCTTTTGTGATGACACCAATCCACGCTGGGTCACCTGCTCTTGCCTGTTGGATTACAATACCGTTGCTGGTGCGGACAAATTTGGAAATATTTCCATTGTGAGTAAATTTTGTGATATTGCAAGTTAGTGCGGGTTACAGTAGTGGTACTGTTTAGAACATCTTCATTGTAAGTTTGTGGTTAAACACCATCTGAATTTTAAAACCCGAACATTTCTCATATTACCAGTCCAAAGAGGGACTTGTCATGTACCTGCCATGAAGTCGGAAAAATCATTTGACTTTTTAAAAATACCTTATAGGTTATGCATAGTATTTGTTCTCCGTCTTCCATCAAACTGTGTCATGTTTTCTCTTTAAAGGAAATGAAAATGCAAGCTGTAATGTATGCTTTGACTGTACCGGTTATTTTCCAAACTCTATTTACTTGTATGTGTTGTTGTTTTCAAATCCCTTTAGCTGCGAGCATTTCGCTCTATTTACTTGTACGTAAATCTACGGTTATGCCAGTGCAGTGTTTTTGCTTTTGCAGCAGTTAATGTGTTGTGTATGATTTATCTGGGGTCTGAAGTGAATGCTATTCTGTAGAAATTTTCAAGCAGCTCTTGAGTAGGTACGCTGCTAGTAATATGTACCGCTGGTGGCCAGTTCGCTGGCGGTACAGTTGGTAAAATTTAGTGGGTGGTTGGCGGGTGCTCTGGTGTGGTTTGCTTCTTCTTTCCTATCAAACATCTATCGTCCTTATCTCCCCTTCTTCTTTTTTATGTTTGTTACTCTCTTGTAACACCTCTAATCTTCTGGCGCTCATATGACCTTATGCAGTTGCGAACGCCGTAAAACCTCTACTAAAACTAAAAAGGTGAAATTTACATACCTGTCCTGTTCCTGGGAGGAAGACAAAAATAGTTTAAGCTACCCGATCTCATCTCTGGGGCTCATATTTCTGATAAAATGTAATGTTTTTCTGCTTAGTGCTAGCCATTATTTTTGTCAATTATTGAGTTAGTTCATTATCTGCAGTCAGTTGAATCATGTTCACGTCTTCATAATTTCATCTGCAGATCCGATTGCCTACTGAAGTAAGCGATGATGTGGATGAAGATCCCACTGGAAACAAAGCTCTGTGGGATAGGGGACTTCTCAATGGTGCCTCACAAAAGGTCAGAATTGTGATAAAAACATAACAACTTATAGACCTGCATGTTTGCCGACAATCGTCTGAAATCCGACAATCGCGACCCGACCCGCGAACCGGCCGATGCTATCGCTAGGCCCGCCTAGTATCAGTCAATGTGCGTAGTGCGAGGCCTGGCCGACTGCCAGCGACCCCTTTTTCTCCCGTCGGCTTCGTCGGCACTTTCGTTTTCGTGCCGACCGTCGACGCGCGCACTGCCGACGTCGGCGTTTCCGACATAATTGTCGGAACCTAAGTAGAAATGCGAATACGAAAAAGGACGACAACTTAAATTATCTACTTTCAGTTTCGTGCTCGAGCGGCCATTTTCAATTTCGTTTGTTGACTAATTCAATTGTTCAGATCGTGTGGGTTCATTCAAGTCCGACTCTCTTGTTCTAATAGAATCTAGATCTAGATTTATATAGAGATCATTATAGACCTCAATGGAGGATTCATAATCCAATTCTATTGTGTCAAACCCTATCATAGGTTGTGCTGTAATATTAATATTGGTAAAAATAAGCATTTCATCAGGTGCGTGAATTATTTATTATTATTATTATATTTAGATCTATAGTCTAGATTCTAGATCTAGATCTAGTTAGATATCTAGATATAGATCTAGATCTAGCTAGATCTAGATCTAGAATCTAGACTCAGCTGAGTCCCTCTGTTCGGAATCGGATGCGGATTTCTAGTTCAAAGCCTAGAATCTATTCCTATTCACTTGTTCTTCAGGATCTAGATCTAGATTTATTTTTTAGATTACTAGTCTAGTAGATCTAGATATCTAGATCTAGATCTATAGTCTATATGGAGGATTCATATTCCAATTCTATTGTGTTATTGTATCAAACCCTATAGCAATGTAGATGTAAGCCATATAGATAAAATTTAGATCTAGATCTAGATCTAGAATCTATATGCTCCTTGTTTGTTTTGGAGTGTGGTTTTTTAATTAAATATTTTTTTTCATTTAGTAGGCTACTTGTTTTGGCCTTTTTACATGCGAATCCCTTTAAGATGAGGCCCGATGCAGGTTCTTTTTGGGGTAGGGTTAGGGTTAGGTCTCTTCTTTATTGTGTTTGTTGGGGTGGTCGCTCGTTACTCGGATGTCCTTCCTTATGACACCCACTAAGGCTTTTGGGGGGGGGGGGGGGGGGTGCGCAAAATTTTCAGACAATCTGGTTGAGGCTCACATGCAGGTCTAAACTTAATATTCTTAACATTGGTGAATTGCTACCCTAAAAAGGGAGTTTGAAATGTATCTAAAGTAAATTTGTGTGGAAATGATGCTTTCCGTGTTTCACCTGAAATCTCTTGTGATTATATCATTATCACTCCTGATCCACATTTTTTTCTCTTTCTTTAGTCCTATGCTCAATGAGATACAAACATTTCATAGTTTATTGTAGTGTTCACCTAGAACTGGCTGGTATCATTTATTTTCATGAAGTGTCCAATTTAATTGTGAAATTAGTTTGTCTTTATGACCTTAGGAGCAGTAGTAGGCCTATCTTGTTTCTGCACAGCCATAGATTTTTTAAAAATATGCATACAGGAAAGAATGAAGTCTGGGTCACTATCCTGTGTCTTGTACCCATTTTTTTTTTTTTTCTTAATGAGAAGATTTGCAGGTTAGAACATAATTGCCAAATTGAAGATGAATGCTGTTTCAAGTCCCCTTCACCATTGTCAAGTATAGACATGATAACCTTAATTCTTATGTTTCACCAGGCTGATGTTGTCTCCAACTTCCATTTGGGTGAGGTTGTCACGTCTCTCCAGAAGGCCACATTGATTCCAGGTGGTTCCGAGTCCCTGGTGTACACAACCCTGTCCGGCAGTGTGGGCATGCTGGTCCCCTTTACTTCACATGAGGTAAAATTGTCAGCTGTTCTCTTACTTCCAGATAAACAAAGCAAACAGGATTTTTCAGTAGCATGTGCTGGTTTCATATGACCGATTTGCTTTAGCGATTCTTTGTTAAGTAGTTGCCTGTCGATTGTATACTCCTTATTAACGGAAATAAATTGCGCACTGCCCATGCTCAGACTGGCAACCGTTGTCTGTTGTGTAGCGGCTAGTCGCTTTGCTGAAGCACAAAGGAGGCTTGAGTTTGATTCCCAAATGGGAATAATCTCTTGGAGTATCTCAGTCTTTTTGCTTGGATGTTGCATCACTCTCAGCTAGGGTTTGCCGTGACAGGCAGGGTCAGAAGCTCTCGTTCTAAATTTTGTCAATGGGGGCATAAAAATGCCTACTTTTTTCTTCTTTTTTTAAAATTCAAACGCACTTATTGCATATTTTCAAAAGGATGTGGTACCTAAAAGTTCTTATGAGATAGACTTTTGCCCTGTGTGCACATATCGGTTGTGAAAAGCCAGGGCCATATATAGAAATATGAATTTCAAGATTTCTCAAATTTTGGCTTGTCCAAAGCAAAAGCAAAAATACTAATTTCAAAATTTCTCAAATTTTGGCTTTTCCAAAGCAATAGCACCCAGTAGGATGATCCTCTTCAATTCTATCTGTTATGGACCTGGTAACCGCACGTTTCCTTTAAAAAGTGGCAGTAGTAAGTGGCCTACTTTTATTTTAACTCAAAATTTTTTTACAAGGGTGTGAATCTGCTACACTTTAGACCAAGTTATGATTTCAGCCTTCTTAGCTGACATACAAATTGTTTTGTTTGTCTGCAGGACCAGGATTTCTTTCAGCATCTTGAGATGTACATGCGACAAGAGTATCCTTCCTTATGTGGCAGGGATCATTTGGCTTTCAGGTCATACTATTTCCCTATCAAGGTGAGAATCTCTTTTTGATAAAGGGTGTTGTATGCCTTTTAAAGTATTGTGTTTTCAGAACATGTGAATGAGATATTTTAAGTTATTCGTAATGCTGAGAACTCTTTTTTTCATCTTTTTTTTTTAATTTTTAATTAGGCAATGATTTAGCTCCAGGAATACGAAATGCAATTGAATTTCCCATGGTGCCTCACATGTCATAACTACCAGGTACTTTTTTTTTTTCTTGGAAATAAAAAGCAGTTGACGTTTGCACAAGACTGGACTGGGCTGGAACTTTCAGATGGGAGGGGGGGGTGTCTAGCTCAAATTTAATTGAAATTTAAATGCTTAGGGGTGGAAAATGTATCAATTTGTTGAGACTTGACTTTCATTTTCCAGAATGTGATTGATGGGGACCTGTGTGAGATGTTCAACTCTATGGAGTCAAGCAAGCAAAAGTCTATTGCAGAAGAACTGGAAGACAGAAGCGCTAATGAGGTATGGAAGATGTTTTCCTTTGAAGGGTTAAAGTATACAGAGTCTGTACTTTTTGTGTTTACTTTGGGGGAAGGATGTTATGATTTCACTTGGCTTAGTTTTGTTAGTTCTGTGCAAACATTTGCTGGTGATTAACTCTCCCACCTCTTTCAAGCTACCTGAAATTATACATTTTTTGTGTCTTGTAGTGAAAAATAGGATATGAGTTTACGGTCAAATTAAATGACAGCGCCTACAAGTGGATGGAAAATGTAGCTTAAAAATATTTGGTCTTGTGTTGTCCTTGAGGAAATAAAATGCAAGGGAACTTCCCTTCAGATAAGTTGATTCTGGTTGTATGAAATACAGAAAATAACCTCCGTGGTGTGACAACTAAGAAGTTGTGTGTTTAGAGATTCCAGGTATTCGGAATTCTGAATTATGGTCCATGTACCAATAGTGGATATATAGATTTGTTCTGATATGCACAAATTTCACTGCACATTCTATTATGTAATTCCAATAGTTTTTATTTCAATTTAAACTATTCGAAATTACATTCCAAATGCACAAACAAAAAGTTCAAATTCTTCCTATCATTCACTAATAATATTAGCTCGGAATGTATTCATAAAACATTTTTTGGCCTGGTTCTAACTAAAATTTGACTGGTTTTTAAACTTTAATTAGCTTACTCTCGTCGTGAAAATGTATTAGCACATGTAAAAAGTCTGCTGTCACCATGGGCTCTCTCTCCAGCTCACAAATAATTGAAAGGTTTTCTTAAATAATTTGGGGTGGAAGGAGGAGTCACATATATATATAGATCCACAAAGATAATTCTTTACTTTCTTGTGGTAGGTTTGAGTAAGTTTCTGCTTGGACTGAAAATACTGTGTGCCCCGGCTATAACAGGACTGCCGGAACTGATGGCATATCCCAAATCCTGTGATAGATGGAGAGTTTACATACACAATAACTTATGATTCACAAATTGGATTATTTTGATTACCTAGCTTTCCCATTGCCAATTTGTCAGTTATTTCTCTTTTCTTTTCCAGTAATATTTTTGCTCCTCAACTTTATCTTTCCCTTTCTGGTATCTTAATCTCATAGTGATTGACTAGACATCGTTTGGGAATCACAGTTAGCCTAATAAAAATGTTGCCTTTATTTAGTACATACCATGCTTTATAGCAGACGCTGTCTGCTTTACAATTAATCGTAACCAAATGGTTACTTGGGGGGGGGGGGGGGGCACAGATAGATTAATCTGTGATAGATGAAGTGCTAAGTGCTTACTTTTCATTGATTAAGTCTAAGTCACTGACTGGAAAATTTGCATCACTACCAAAGTGCATCCATCTTTCCACCTACCTCCGCTGCACAAATGGTATAACACGTTATAATTATTAAGCCTGCTGTCACCATCAAATTAGGCTTCCTGTTGATCATTAAGTGAATTTGCCATGTTGAATATTGTTTTGCTTTGTTTGCTTTTCTTTCTGCTTTCTTGGTTGTTTTAGGATTTTGTCAGTGGTTGGACCACTGTTATAGTCAAGCATACCTATATTCGAATGCTTGCTTTAAAAGAACTTTATTGCATTTTTTGAGAGATGGGACCTTGGGATTTATTGTAAGCCTGCTGTAGCCGAAATACTATTATTATGGGAGCCCACTGTAATGTGAAAAATGCCTTTTTCCCCCCCTCAGGTGTCCAAGAAACTAGAAGACATCCGCACCCGGTACGCCTTCTAATCTCCTGCTAAATGTGTACATAACTTGAACAGACAGACTTGGGTATCACATCGTCACCTCTTCATTGAACTGAAATATGTTGTCATTATGTAAATTTTAACATTTTTTAAACGCTTTATTGTGTTCTTTTGTGTGCGAAACTGACATTGGAGTTCCCGCTCCCTGTTTGCAGTATCTGAATAGAAGTTCCAAATTTTTAATCACTGATGTAGTTCTTCATTGTGCATTCTGTAAAAATGAAAGCTTCTGGTCTGTAAATGGTCTAGTGTAATGGATAAGTTTAGTAATGTTCGTTTACATTTCTTTTAATAATCTTTTGACATCATTCCAAAGGATTTTGCTGGAGGTGTAGAGAAAAAAATTGGAGGCATGAAACTTAATACCAAATCATTTGATGACTCCATGTAACTTGTGTTAATTGTTTACTCCTTAGGTTGGTCCATATTGCAAAGGAAAGGAATATTTGTTTGGGGGAATTATTAGTCTTATGTATACACGAATCCTGATTTTTTCATTCTCAACCTCTGCTCTTGAGCTAATTATTTCTCTGATGCCATATCAGATTGAGACTGAAAGATACAGAAATAACCTCAACTGTAACAACTGACTTAATATTTGGTCCTTATGTTAGCAAAGGGTTGCTTCTTCTGTCATTTTACTTTCATGTAGTGATGAGCTTAAATGTCTGAAATGTTTCTTAATGTGTTCATTGTATGTACTCCCATTTCATGTTTTGTTCCAGTAACTGAATAAACAAATGATGAAGAAAGTTTGTTTCATGCTACCTTTCCTTGCCTTAGAACTCGTTGTTTTTGTTTTTTGCTCTGAATTTACATCATCTCTCGTCACTGAAGTCTTCTTTAGATGTACATGTATTGAAAGATTGTGAAATTAAAAGAGTGGCACAGCTCTCGTGTTGTAGGGGTATGTTATTCACCTCTCTTCCAAAAAGTCTCGGGATCGAAACTTGACAGCTACAGGGAAAAAAATTATCTCCAAATTTTATTTTTTCACCTTTTTTCCTGTTCTCTACAGTGGGTGTCGCATTCAACGAGGTCACATTCAAGGAGAAGTCGGCTCCAACGAGGCAATCCTTAATCCCCGATTTTTTCCTCTATATATCTCTCTTTGTAAATGTATGTCAGCTCCAATGAGATTGCAAACAGGCCGAAGTCGCTTTCAACGAGGTCGCGATAACCAAGTAAAAGCAATCAGCTGCCCCAAAAGCGAAGAATTTTTCTCATGTGAAGCTCAAGGCTCATCGTCGATTCCTAACACATATTGTATTGCTAGATCTAGTGTTCCTCGTAATATAGGCCCCAAAGCCAAGAGGATGGGCGATGGTTGGCCTACGGTAGGGATGGGAATGGGAACGCGATGTCTGCTGTGAAACTGGGTGAACTCTGGATGGGTAGGTCTAGATACTAGATCGAGACCTCAAGTTTTTTATTTTTTATTTTCCTCCCCTGATCAGAAAATCCAAGCTCCCGCCATTACTTAAAACTTTATGTAGATCAAGGCCTAGATGTGAGAGGGTATGTTTCCACATGAGAAGTGTTCCGAAAAAAAATACTTAACAAATGTATTAAAAAATGCAGAAATGACGGTCAGAACACAGCTCAAACGCGCACACTGATGCTGTTTGAGATTTTCGTCTTCGGGGAGAACAACTGTTTTAATTATGTACTGGTGTTGGTACATCGTGTTATAATCTAATAACTTGTCTCCTTTCTTTTCTTTAGCCTTAGTCCCGTTCCACGAGAGGTTGGATCCGAGGACAACAAGCCGGTCCCGGCAACCTAGTTGAATGCGACACCCACTGAAGTCCTGTTGTCATTTGCTTTCATCTCCACATTTTCCCCCTCCCTCAACTTCCTATAGGCTCCTCTCTCTCCATTACTCACCACTCTATCTACTGCTACTCCTGGTTCCTTATTATTGCTGTCTCTTTCAGCAACAGCCCTTATCTTTGAGAAGGTAAGGTCAAATACCTAGCAGAGTAGCCTTCTCGAATAAGGGCAAAAAATCTTGGATGTTCCTGTGTGCAAGTTGCATTTGTAAGAGCCTTTGGTAGTTCTAAACTTGGTAATAGTAGTTGACTGCCACCCAAGCAAAAGTCTGTATCTATATATATATATAGTATTATACAATATAGAGTGCTGTCAAATTTGGAATGTCGCTGCCTGGAGACAAGGAGCCCTACGAAGTAGGAAAAAATGTCACATTATGTGATTCAGTTGTACTGCAGGTTGAAAAACCAGCTGTGGACTTCCCTGAGATCTAGTAGCAGGGGAACACACAAAAAGAAGAGTGGTGCTGGCTTTTAGTTCCAATTGTCTTGAGGGTACACCTAAAGGCCCGGTCACACTTTTTAAAATAATACATGTATACTGTTCAAAAATTGGACAATCTATCGTGCATAGTAGTTAGGACAAATCGTATGTGTAACAACAGCGGAACTGTTTTTAAAAATTGGGCGATGGAGGTGGGTTGGAGACTCGATCAAGAAATCAAGAGCTGCCTGATATTTTGCATGCAGTCTAAATAATAATAATAGATAGCATTTGTATAGCGCATATCCCCGCTCAACAGCAGGCTCTATGCGCTTTAGGTCATATTTCGGGGAGGTGAGCTGGGACACCGTCAGTATCTCTTTGAAATTTGCTGTTTTGAGTGTGAGAGCTGAAACATAGCTTGCAGAAAATTTTAATAGTTAATAATCACAGTTAAAAATAATTTCATTTTCAGAATCAACGTATTCAAATAAACTAAGGAGCTTGCATGGAACCGGATCTGATGCGACATTTACGCAATTTTTAATATTTTTTCTATTGATTGTCAATTGAATAATTGTGAACATAAAGTCATGTATTTTAACAATGTCACCCAGTGTGTTACGCATACCGCCACCCTTGGCGCAAGCATGAAGTTAATCAAATGGAACAGCGGTGTTCGCGGCTTAAGTTCAACGAGGTTTCTCTGTTGTAAAGCCCCAACTAACTAAAAGTCCTACGAAAGGAGCAGGTCACAGAAGAGGGAAATGCTCTAGAAGATGTCGAACCCTTCTGCTATCTTGGAGTATAACTGACAGAGAGGGAGGAACAGGCGCTGAAATAAAGTCACGGAAATGGATGTACAGAAAAGTGGGAAGACGTGGAGTGACATCAAACGACTCGCCCAGGATAGGGAAAGGTGGAAAGTGTGTTCGTGGCCTATACATGTATCCTGATCCAGGGTGAAAAAGGCATTGATGATGATGAAAGCCTCAACTGCTCAATGTCAAGGAACATGATTCCTCTATACTATTAATATTAATTTTGTGTTTGAAAAGTGTCGTTTTGTTGGTGTGTGTACCGCACTCGTATTCAGCAGAGCAAAGTCAAAGAGTCTTTTGTCTCTTTCTCATGGAAGCTCTCTCTATCGCTGTCTTTCTCATGGGGAAAAGGTTATCAAGTATGTGTAGTCAATTACATGTAGTAATGGGTGTTGTGCGCCGTCTACAGCGTGAACCTTAGACGATTAATTGGCTGGCGGTATGACGGGGCAAATTTACATAGTAGACTCTAAGGGCCGTTCAACTGCGACAGTTGGCGAATGGTAGTAGGCCCTATAATTACTATCATAGTGTGAAGGCGCAAATACCAGATGGTATAAGTTAGATAGTATAACAGGCGGGGGGAGAGGGGCAGTAGGCGCCTACAACGAGGTTTGACTGTCACGATGCAGTGTAGCGACTCGGTCATTGGAATGTTCTATATTATTCAGATCCATCCCATGAATGTCTGTGGACGATTAAAAAGCCAGAGATTATAGGCCTAGTGACAAATTAAGAGAGGGCAAACGAACTTGTCTTGTTTTTCAGTTTAATCTTTACAAGCCTTCGTGATATAAAAAGTACATGTACCCAGAACAACTGTGTGAGTATCCAGTCAAACCTCATTACACACCCCTCGCCCCCCCCCCATACTGCCAGACTGCCAGCCCTGCTTATCGCAAGAGTACGAAGAGTGATGCCTATTATAATATATTATAAATAAAAACTTTTTCCCCTTTATAATACCCTGTGCCCATGGATGGACAAACCGATCGCCTAATTCTCGGCCTGAAAACAAATGCGTTGTATCTGATTGAGGCTGCGATTCAGGCGATCGGTTTGTGCCACGATGCTTGCTTTGTGCCCTCAATCTGGTTAACCCCGCCTTCCAAACCCAACCCAACCGATCGTATTAATGGGCGCCTCCTATTACACCGCCATCCGCCAACTGTCTGAGTTGTAAGACGCTTCGCTTATTAAACTAAAGTAAATTTGCACTACTATTCCACCAGAAGTCTTCAATACACACGACACCCAATCAGTGGCTATTAAATAATATCCTCTTAGTTTAGTCTTTCCCACACACGTCTCTGCGAGCTCGGTCTATTTCGAGTGCTTGTCAATGATTTTAGCTGATTATGAAAAAGCTACCGGTACTTAGATTATTTCAAAGCTTTAGCCAATGTGTAAAAAAGAAATTGGAATTATCTTTTGAATTAAAGTCACCTGGAGAAATTTCAAAGCGACTGCATCACCTCAGCCTGCCGGTTAGATATCTGGGGCCTCCAGTTATCAGGCCGATGACCTAAAGGCTGGCGGGCGCCCGCGGGGCTTATATATTGAAAGCACTCACGCTCTCAAATCAACAGAATATGACTTCATGTCTAAGGTGAGTATTGGGTTTGATTTTTTTTTGAAACTACATTATACATTTAAATAAAAACGTATGTTTACAGGTTTCTTGGTACACGTGTATAGTCTAGCTTCTTTTCTTTTTATTGAAATGTACGTAACGTATAGTCGGAGCTGGACATGTAATAGGTTGCTATTCGGTTGTTTTTTTCCTCTTGCGCATGTCAGTCACGCAATTAGACAGATCAAGATGAGGCAAGACTGGCCACATAATTTTGTCTCTCTACCAGTCTACCGCTAGTCAGCAATCGGTGCGATCCTTTTCTACCGCCAGCCCCGCTCTACCGCCAACTTCATACTCGTCCAATTGTAGGCGGTATGATGGGGTTTGACTGCACTTCGCTTTAAACTTTAGTCTTTTGTCCAACTAAGCTTTTTTTTTCTCTTTAAAAAACAAAAAATATATAATATGGTAACAGTAACAGCACACGGTCAAAGCGGCTTTCTGGAGAAAGGATTAGGAGTCTTCCCAATCGTTGAATTGGAACGTGTAAACAGAGTACATGTACTGTACGCAGTTCGATAAAACTAACCTGACACTTCAACTTCTCGTTGACAAGTCTGATTGGCGGCCCTCTAAGCTGAGCGCGTGGTTTCGATGAAATCGGGGTAATTCAGATTAACTTTAAATACCCCACCATCTCCAGTAAAATCTGTCTCTATACGCATAAAGGCGGTTGAATCATGTGGCCATCAATACGATAGATTCTAAATGAATCAGCACCAGCTCCTCGTTGGTGACCCTGTCTGTCCAACTGGTCTTGGGTAACTTTCTCGGACTCTTGTTCAAGAAAACCTGAATCCTCTTTACGCAAGCCTGGGAGAGCAAGTCATGTTCCATGTCTCTTATCCATACAACAAGACTGACTGAGTTTGAAATACCTCAGCTTTGTTCGGAGTGAAATATAACTGGTCCTGTCTTATCAACGCAGGACTTAATTCCAACTCCTGTTCCTCCATCACTGTCACATCCCAAAAGAGCAGAGAAGGATTCAACGTCTTCTATTCGCATTAAATTCCTTCTATTGTGACTAGCTCCTTTCGT